TTGATGGCCCCATCTGTCGAGGTTGTCATTGCAGACTTGTGTGAATTGCTGTGGTTTTTGTCCAAATTGGTGCAAAGATGTACCAGTCATTAGGGCTGCTGATATTCTCCATTCACGTATCGATTATCCGGTCATTTTATGTCAATTTGTATCCAGCCCTGCTAAAAGTATGTCGTGTATAACGCGAAATGCCTATTTACCCCTCTGTCAATATATGATAATCAAGTCTGTCTTCCAAAGAGCTTCCTGTTTAGCGCCATCACTTCCTGTCCGAATGAGTGCTTTTAATTTATGTGATCAAATTCACACAAATTTTGCCATACGTCGCCCGTCATACATCCGTCACATCTATCTCACGTAATCGGTGTGGCTGCGACCATTGAATTTTGAGGCCATAATCTCTGTAAAATGCCTGTTTTTCTTGCGATGCAGCATCTGCGTTAACCTCCACCATTGTAAATGCCATTTGCGAGTCGTATTGTTGCAGTGGGGCTCATTTCTGCGTCCTTCTTGCTACCCGTGTTTCGCTGGCTCGTGGGTTTTAACTCGTTGTTCACAGGATGCGTTCGCGGTTGTTTTTCCACGAGCTACTTCCATCCTCTTGCTTCAATGCTTGTTTCCACACAGCTGTTAGATTGCGACTAATTGTTGTAATGCAAAATGCAGCACTTGAAGGGTGTCCTAATTATCCTCTGACATTCTCTCGCACGCCACTAGCTCTGCTGCTCACATCTGAGGACGAATCTGACCTTGAGAACGAGGTTTTTTCCTCCCCGTTGTCTTCGCTTTCCTTCTCGCCTCATTTTTAAATTCACGCACGCACTGATCTTGGTTACTAATATTTGCAGCATTTAACGTATGGTTGTTTACTTGAAGTAGCTCTAGCAATTGCGCATAACGGCTCCACTGAAAACTGTGACAAGAAAATTGCAAGTCAGCCTACGCACCCGTCACGTTGTCCTGCATTTGACACACAACAAAAGGCGTGTCTTGAAACCTGCCAGTAGTTTTTCCCAAGTGGCACTTTGTTGTGCGGTCGAATTCGTATTGTAGTGAGTCACTCTTCCTATAGATATTCCATGTAGCACGAAGTATTGTACCCCAACACGCTAATTTGTTGACTGCGGCCAGGATGGTTTTTTTTCAAAAAAATTTAAGTGCTTCCCCTTGCACTGTAGGCTTTCCTCCGTTCTGCGCTTCGACAGCGCACGAGACCTACCAGAATGTGATGTCGTGGCGAGAGACTCTCAAATTCCCCCCAGAAACACCCATATCCAAGGAGGCCCACGACTTGATTACCTTACTGTGCACCGACGCTGAATCCCGTTTGGGCTCGAATGGGGGACTGGAGCAGTTCCGGAAGCACCCCTTCTTCGATAACGTCGATTGGGAAAACATCCGGGAGCGACCCGCTGCCATCCCCGTCCAGATCCGCTCCATCGATGATACTACCAACTTCGATGAATTTCCCGATGAAGACCTCACGTGGCGTTAGTTCTTTCGGCAGTTGATGCTAATTCTTAAACTATCAGCGGTTGTTGAAAGCGACATCATTTGTGTCTTGCGACTGCTGATTGAATCAATAACATGTCATCCACCAGACCTTCAATGGCGTTTTTTTTCGTTGTAGCGAACGTCACGGATCCGAAAAAGTCATACAAAAAGGATCTGGCTTTTATCAACTACACCTACAAAGCTTTTGACGGCTGTTCAAGTTGCGATCGTCGACTGGCGCGTCCATCAAATCACCACCATCAGCAGCGGCACGTGCGTCCCTGTCCGGCAGCAGGAACTGCCGCTCCATCTGTGAGCTGAGGCGTGCTTCCAGTGCACTCCCTCCCGATACTATCTCACCAGGCCACATTCCAAGCCACCGTCACCGCCAAAACCAGATTTCGCGTATGCCATCACGGTCCTGTACAAACACCCCTCCTCCTCCTCCTCCTCCTCTCTAAAGTCCTTTACTAGATGCCGCGCGTTTTCTCCACCAATTTTATACTCACCCGCACACATCCATGCGTCCAGAGCTTTCACACTCAAATCCACACGCTTTGTTCAAATCTGCACCAATCAGAATTGCTCAAATTACCATTATCAGCAGTGTAGCGACAGCAGCATTTTTCACCGTATGGGCTACCGCGCGCACCGCCATTCCTGGATCCCGTCTCCCCTGTTGGCTGTGTTTCTACTCCTCCTCCTTCTGCTTATTTCCAAATCCCACTTCGTCTACCTCCGTGTCTGTGTTACTTCGACCACCACCACCAACGCTGTATTGACCGTAGGAGAAGCGAATATTATCGTTACCGCGCCTTACTTTCGCCCCCCGATCCCCTCACCCACTGATTTGCGATCTCCCTCTACTCCCAAACCGCCTCATGAAAGAGAAGGGGAGTAATGGATATCAGAGTGGTCGACCGGACATTTGTTGTCACCGCGTACGCACCCCTTATTCAGTTAACCACGTACACTATCCCCCATGTTTCACTTGCTGGCCAATTATTTTTGCTATCTTACACAATAGTGCGCCTTCTTTGTTCCTAGGGCCAATGGGTTCATACGTACTTCTATGACAGCGCAGTTTCGACTAAAAGCACTCGCTCATTTCATTGGTAAACGAAGCGATTCGCCTTCTGATCCATTCGTGATGCAGAATTATCGTTCCTACATTGAGTTCTGCCGAAAATACTCAGAACTAGTAGTTGTGCTAGCAGCGCTGTCGTGGTTTCGCGGATTTTGTGAGCGTGTCCGGGTCTTTCCCCAATGTCTTGAAACGGGAGTTCAATCAAACAGTCAAGGGTCTCGGGGAGGGGGGGGAAGAGTTGAAACACTTCCACCAGGGCTTCTGTAACTGTCAAACGGACATTCATTTTCCTCTGTGGAAGGTGCACTGCATTCGTTTGCGATTTTTCGCATAAAAAGCCACAACACGTGACATTCTGACTGGTATTTTCGCGTCTTTTGCATCACAGCAAGCTGACAGCCGTCACATTAGGGTGTGAAGCTCGTAGCCGCTTGAATGAGGCTTCAAAAAAGAGGCGGAACACCTGTCCACCTTTTCAAGGCAAGGTGGTGTGCTAGATTTTTTGCCCACCTATCCTGCCACCATTCACGTGACTTACTTTTAAAGTGGTGCACCGTTTTTGGTTGTGGTTGCGCTGTGCCTCCTAAGAAGAAAATATCACGGGAGGAAAAAGACATACGGCTACATTTCGTGAAAAAGAAATCAACAAAAGTAAAATCTGGTGGTTTTCTGCACACACACACACACAAAGGGTGGGGAGGGACTAGGTTATAAATAATGCTGGTTCGTGCAGTTTACCGCAAAGTGAGGAGTTGTTTCTCGCTCGACTTCAGGCCTTATTCATCCTTTGGAAGGGGCTTTTTTCCTGAGCGGAGATCATTCGTCTAAGTTTTGCACCTGTAAAAAACGCAAACGCGATAAGAACAGCCCGTGTGGCCTTGCGTCCAATTTGGTCTCCCTACCAGCCAATTGGATTGCAGAACCGCCTTTTAAATAATGTTTTCAGGGTAAGATACTCTAATTAATTATTTTCCATGGCGTTTCAGAGCTCCTGTTACCTAAGCAGTATTAAAATTAGTTGGACATTTGGTTGAATAAATTGAGCTGATCTAAAAAGAAGGTCCTGAAAATGTAATTGCATTTGATCTTTCAGTCAGTTTTGTCCAATCAGGTTTTAGAGGTGGAAGGCACTTAAAGTTTCTAATGAACCTGTGGATTTTAACCATTACAGGGGTCTACGCTTACCAGTGTGGATCTTTTACCTTGAATTGTCGGCAGAGCCTTCTCCAGATTTTCCATACTCTATCACGAGGTTAGAACTCATAACAGAGAGTGCTTGAAGCACTATCTAAATCCAAGTGGTAAGTCCAAATATTTATTGGCAAAGAAACTGAGGTAGGTGTTTTACAGCGTTTGTGGAAACCACCGTAGGCTCTTTGCTGACACTCGAAGTGATTAATTGATTGCTCCCCTTCGCCTACGGATCCCTTGCCGTGGCCGTCATGCGGTAACTTCTTGCGAGAGAAAACGTCAGCTTATCAGATGCACTATATACTACTTCTTGATGCGCAAAACATCCGGTAGGATTGTCCAAACACCCATGCATCCCTAGTGAGGACTTCGTAAGGTCGCTTTATGCATCTTTTGATGCATACCTTGTGTACCTTTTTCATGGGACCGACTCAGGTTTGAGTTGCTGCCGAATCCACATGCGGTCTTGAACATGATGGAGTAGCAGCCGCATTCATCGACTTAAACTGTAGTTTGATCCACAAAGCTTTTAACTCCAACAGAAGTGCCAAGTAGGTGATGGGAAGTTTTCGGAAAGTTCGTCCAACCTAATAGTCCATGCTGACGCATATTTTTTTGGCACTGTTGCTATTTGACCTTGCTGGTGTGCGCTTAGCAAGTCACAGGGTTGAACTTCTACCTAGGTGCTAAGATGTGAACACGCATTGTTGCAATGCGTGTTCTGAGCCAAAGTATGCAGCACAGAACAGTTGGTTTCGAACATTGGTTTATGCGTGGGATAGTTCACATGCGTGCTAATACCCTTCGCCAGTGATTGTGCAAGACTGCATTGTAATTTGGCATGTGCTTGGGGTCTTAAAGTAGTTCCCACACACCCCGGTGCAACTGAGGGATAGGCAAGGAGCCGTGTACACGATTGGCGATTCACCGAAGCCACGTTCATTAAATCAAGGGGAATTAAAAGCGCTTCATGGCTATGTGGTGGTCAGCGTTGTGGGACAACGTAGCACGGCGAGCCACGTTGGTCACCAATTGCAGCTGTGTGTACTTTCTCCAAGCCTCCGTATGTCCGCTTGTGATTGGCGCTGGCTAGTGCATACGATTTTCGGGGATGCAAACATCCGTCAGGACAAGGAAGTTAACACAGTGAAGTGTGGCGTCATTTCACTCAGCTCTGATCATTCAATTACAACTCTACCGTCAGGCCGCATCGTTTGTTCACTGCAATAATTCACTGAAGGGACACATAGGCACATCTGAGCATCCACACGACCTCCGCCTCGACTTCCGTTTTTGCTGATCTCCTCCGGCAAGTGCCCCATTTAAACAATCGACACCCAGAATCGTTGCAGCGTGTTGCGATTTTTGCTCTGCAATTTGCCTGTTCACCACCTCATTAATTAAAAAGCCAACTATCTAATGTTGGGGAAGTTTTTAGAATCACATGTTCCTATTTTCATCCTAATAAAGCTTGTTGTTGCCGCGTTCTGTGGTAAACAACCTCGGGATACAATTAATTTAATGACCTTTTGTTTAAATTACTTTCCCGTAAGTAATGGCGCTAATTTTAACGCCATAAATGGCTACAAAGACCAAGATTGTGGTGAATAGATCCCACTCCTCCAAGGGCATTAGTTGACTTGTGAAGCCGAATGCCAAAGCAAGTGTTTACGGTGAATTAAAAACCCTCAAAAATGAAAATAAGATTACTGAGCATCTAATCAATGAGGAAGAATGAATGAGGTATGTTTCACATTCTTCCAAAATCAGGCATCCGGTTTAGCGTACCGAGTTGGGAAGTTGTCGAACTCGGTAGAAAAATTGGCGGCTTGGGATCATTAAGATCTTGACAGTCATCAGTTGGTGTCTAAGACCTCATTAATTTGCCACTCGGAACCTGTTTAAGCACCGTCTGATGCTACTTAACATGATGGAGGAATAGGAAATTATCAGCTTGGCAGAAAAGGCTTCATTAGAATCCATTCATGGTTCTTTTTGCAGTACTAAATTTACACAAGAGAGTAGCCCTTATTCGTGGCTCTGGGGTCAATGAACAACCTTCAAGAACGGTGTTTTAAGAAAACAAATTTTTGCTTTTTTTTATTGAGAAATGCGAACGAACTGGCTTACCGTCAGGGGAATGTAAGGGATTGACTACACGGTAGGAGGTTGGCAATCTGTCCATGACGTGGGCCGCAGCTACCACATCGCCACCTGAGGTGCGTCGTGGGGAAACGCGGTTGTAACCGCAGCCCTGTGATTGGTTGGGTGGGGCAGCGGCAGCAGCCGAGGTGGCTTTCGGAACCCCGCCAACTGGGGACCCGAGATTGAGTGCCTTCACTTCGCCGACCGACTGACTACTCTGCCTCTCGGCAGCCTTATGCGCGTACACCTCTGCGGTCCGATTATCTAAGTGCCACTTGTTCACCTCCGTTGAAGGGTTTCGATAGCTAGTTGAGGGGAAGCGGTCCTGGGATTGGAAGGCCTCGTGGTTCATGTTGAATAGCCTGCTCGTGGATGGCTTAAAGTGCAATTCAAAAGTAGAACGAGTAAATTGTCATCCTCGCATTAGGGAAAGCAACTGGCCCTGACAATGGAATCCTACGCTGGAGAGCGTTAAAGTGTACAGTTTGGGGCAAAGCAATTGCTCATAGAATTCAATTTTAACCATGTCCACAACCATGATTTTCAATAAAATCACCAAAGAGACATCACCAAGACAGTTAAAGTGAAAACAATCATTTTTATTGGTGGTAGGGCCAACAAAGTTAGCAGAAATGTTTAATTCCCACAAGCGCGTGTCGGAAACGAGTGACGAATAACGGCCTTCACTCATTCCGATGGGGTGATTTCTTGGCTTACTTCTGTCCCTTTGGTAAAGCGTCAGTTAACCTTGAAAGTTGCGCCAAATTTGAGCCAACAGTGGTAGTCTTCTCTTTAACAAATGTAGGACAGTAAATAAAACGCACCAGGACGACGCATTAGCCATTACACTAAAGAGGCCAATTAGCAATAAATCATTCTGCAGTCATAAATCTTCAAAGGTCGGTAAACAACATTCGCCCACATTCAGTTGAATTTAATTGACTGTTTAAAAACCAGTCCAACTACAGTGTAAACTCAAGTCTTACAAGTAGAAATCGGTGGAGAATTCTGTTAATTGCACTTTTTTTATAAACTAGTATTATTTCTATCCATTGATAATTAATAATCGTCAAATCAGCTTGTATCAAACCCTTCTTAGACGAATGTGACCGGCAGGTTATTCACTCGTAATCATTACAGAAATACTAAGTATTAAACACTCCGATGGCCTGATGGTGGTATTAAGAAGAATATTTTTCAGTTTCAATCACCTAAGGGAGTTTTAGCCGTTTTTCTTGTACCAAGCTTTTCTGGACAAGCAGTCCATACTGGCATCTCTGAGTTACAGTGACAAGCGACAGAAAAATGACAATACTGTATAATAAATTAGAATTTTTGATAGGCAGAATCGTCATGCTTTATAGCCCTCAAGCGACACTTCAACTTGGGCTTGCATCCTGGTGTTCCCAACGAGGAGCACTGCGTTCACTAATGCGTCTAAACCACTCAGGACAGTTCACGATATTTGGGTCTATTCCACACCGAGAGTTGGACAAATATTAACAGATAATTTCTGATATACCTCAAAGATAGGGCAACTGAAGGTGATTTAAATTACTTAAACTTGAACACCACAAATCAATTTTGTAGCTTGGAAGACCTTGTGAGGGATGTTAACATTCACCAATGGAGTTAAATTAACATTGAGTTGTGACGTCAAATCACTACAACGACTCATCGCTCAGTGTTGAGTCGCATTTAAGCAGACACATCTGAGCATCTGCGGAGTTTCCACCTCGAGTTCTGCTTTGACCTCATCTCGTACTCGACCCTTTTCTTCATACAGCAAAACCTCCTTCAAAAGCTTTAGTCTTCTCTTATCCTGGGAAACCTTTGATGCGTCAAACGAGGAGTTCGAACTATTACCCTCGGTGATTCGCATCAACATACCTGGAAAAAATGCAAAAATTGGCGACGCAGGTGAGATGGAGGGTAAAGGGATGGAGCAATTGTTCGAGCGACTGGTATCGGTGCTGGCAGATCGATAGAATTCTCAGGCCGCACCTTTAAGTTGGCCGTAAGTTGACGGCCTTACTAACAGTACGTGAAAGCCTTATTTGACGAATGCGCATGATGATGCACGTATGTCGGGTTGGCGGTTCTACAACATGCGCCAAATCAGCTTATTGGTGGGATCTCAAATGAGCAACTGCACGAGAGGATTGGAAGAGGAGCAACTGGTTTATCTGGGGGCTACAAGTTCATTGGAAATTATTCGACTTGGGATCCGCAACAATTACGTTCAGCTGTTTAAGTCATTGGGCGGTGCCTCACATCAAACATCGCCGAAAAAACAATTTCGCGAGCCTATATCAGTGTCAAATATGGTACTGTGGTTGAACCATGCTCCCAATGAAAGTCTTGAATCCAATTTACGACATAGCCTTGCAGAAACTGTGGGCACATTAGCGCAGCCACTTTCTTTCTAGGGCCGACTGATGTAAACACGCGACTTGACCTCCGTCAAGCTGAGTCACGGACGCCCGCTTCTTCTCCAAGCCCTTACGCAACTACGACTAGCACAATCAGGTCAGCGGCGTAAACACATGCGCATCTGCGGGATTCGTTTGTACCCTTTTGGTGGTGCTATTGCAGTACGCACTTCAAGTTTAATAAAAATGAATTATTTGAGGAGAATGTTGACGGAGGTCCCGCAATTCGTATGACAACCTACCACATGTGCTTCGAAGTGGGCTTTTTCACCGAAATTGACCATGGTGGGAGTCTAAAAGCACCATCCCCGCATACGAAGCCGATAATTTGAACCTGTGGGTGCAGAAATTGCATCTTACATATCGCCAGGTAAGACCACAACTGCCAAGAAAACGCTAGGCTACTAGTATTGATGATAACTCGTACCGGAAGACAAGAATTTGAACTCAGGTCCTCTGAATCGGCTGATCGAAGAAATGATCAAAAATGAGGGGTTGTCTGGCCACCAGGACTAAGATCCCTACGACTAAAATTCAGTCACATCAAATTTTATGGAAGAAACAAATTCTCTTACTGAACACCTCGTGATGCAACTGCACATTACCACACATCAAAATGTACTTTTGGAAGAATAACGCTGTTTTTTAAGAAAAAAGGGCAGTCAACAATAAGCCCTAAAGGACTTCGAGACTGAATTTCGATAAAAAAAGGCATTTTGTCTCATAAAAGACACAAGCCTCCCACACATCAGTGTAATGTCCAAATGTACTGAAACTTAGGAGGTTGAAAACGCAAGTAAACACCTTAAAGTGCAGACTTGGAGCGTTTCACCCTCACTCTGGTGGCCTTTTCAATTTACCTGGCCCTCTAATACTCGTGATCATGTAAATTCTAAGCACTTAGAGCAGTTTTAAAGGCGGAAATGCAGTACCGAGGCCTTCTTCGCTGGGCTGGTTTCGAATTCGCCGGCAGAGAGCATGTGTTGATGAGGGGTGCTGTCAACGACCGCACGCGAAGCTGCCGCTGTTTCCTGCACCAGATCTGTAATCTTTCCAGGAGTCAAGAAGTCATCGTAGTGCGTCTTACTCGCTTCCAACTGCTCCTTCAGGTTCTGATTCTGAAGTTATAAAATAAAAGAAATCGAGACTTCTGACCGTTAGGCACACATCCTGTCTGTAATAATTAAAACCTTTTTTGCCCTCTGGTTTAATGGGGATCAGTAAATATAAGGTAGCCTTACCATTGGCTGCAAGGCAACTTCTTGAAAACATCTCAGATCCGTGGAAGTTCACTCGATCCGCATGCCTTAGAAGGTATTTTTGAGGAAACTAACAGCAGGGAATAGTCAGGCTTGCTTGTTCGCTAACCGGTAATATCAAAGTTCCAGCAACTAAGAACAACAGCGAACTGCATAACCTGGCGAGCGGAGGTCTACTTCAAACGAAAACTGTCAGCGCTACGGATTGTCAGTTTTTTTAAGGATCAACAATGGATCTTCTAATAGCAACTCAACTATAAGCACCCACTACTTTTTAAAGCCCATTTTGAAAAAGGGGAAATTGGCTAATTCGCGGGTAATGTGGAGACATAAAGTACCAGTTTTTAACTTCCGCACGCTCTTTTAAGCGAATAGGTTTTTAATAAACCAATAAAGGTAACGTAATATCCTGGTAAAACCCGCCTTGAATGCAGTAACGCCGTAAAATTGAAACTAAGGGCGCAAAACGGCCAATTTTTACGATCCCCATGACCTCGACCAGACCATTAGTCACCATTGGAACCAACATGTCAATAACGTGTCAACCAGCGGTGACCGCATGAACTTCGGAGCATAATGTATCCTAGCTACAAACAGTAAAACTGTTGTAATCATCACTTTTTCGGGGTTTGTCGATTTGGGTTTGGATTCAATTTGTTGAGGACCCCGGCATGTAGTCTCGAACCACGCCGAGTTCAATGCGTTGAAGCCAGCCCGATTACACTGTCCTGGTGCAGGCGACGATGAAGAAGACCAAAGAGGGCGAGGCACAACCGTTTACCAGGTATCTCGACCAAGTCGGGTTGTGTCTTGTGTGTGTGTATTAAAGGCAGTGAATGACTCATGTGTTTTGCATTGAGTGATACAGCCTGGCTGAACCATTAAAAGTACAAACGCCTTAACAGTCAAATGGACAAAGCGGATAGCGAGTGAGCAGACGGCCCCCACGGCTGACGGACACGCCATGAACAGGCGAACGCGTCTGAGACTGCGACGACCGGGTTAATGGACGTGAGTCAACACGATTTACTCCACATTTAAAATTTGTCTAGTGGACACGTAGTGGCTTCAGTTAGTTAACGTTTGGCCTATTTACCAACCCTGATTACCGATTATCTCGGGCCCAAAGATTTCCGTAATTTTATATAAACGTACATTAAGGGAAATTGTCTCCTAAACACCATATGATTTAGGACAGGAAAGTTGAAGTAAATCGTGTAGCCACACCGCGCACAGAATGGCACCCAACAGCCGTCGGGTGGTTGATCACAGTTAGGTAAAATTATGGTGATTGAAGGGAGTAGGTTGAACGCGGTTTTACACCACCTACAACAATTGGTGACCCCGACGTGATGAAAGGTTCTTCATGCTCCACAGCGAAAGGGCAACTTTAAGCTAGCACATTTCACTTCCACTGAACTGTAAACTGCAGGAGTATTGAACAAATCCAAGTAAAGTTTGCGTAGAACCGTTGCGATGAATGGACACGTAAAGGGGAGGCTTCAGACGGCACTGGGGCTGAGTCATTAACTGGGCTTATTCTGGCGTAATTCGCTTTTACCTTGGAGACATGCTAAGCAATTTTGACCTAGTAGTGTGCATTTTGAATTTACACATTACATTTGCTTACAGTGCTCAGGGTTAATGCAAAAGTTTAAGCAGGCTATACCTGTGTCTCCTGTTTAAAAATGGGTGTGTGACACGCTAGTGGGTCCTGTTTTTGAGGTGGTCCGTCTCAACAGCTGATTTCCTACATTTTCGGACCGCAAGGTGTCTGATACCGTCGACCAAGTAAGCCCAGACAAGCTTTACGGCCAAACGCTTGAGTATAAACACCAGGTATTAAACTACCACCTCCACACGGCCTTTGAAAAGAGGTTAGCCAATTTGCTAGTAGGGTCTGGGGAGGGAAAAAGGCCAAAAGAATTACCTCGTTTGTAAGGCTGTCGATCCGCCTTGACAGGCGTTCATTCTCCATTTTAGCGCGGTTAAGTCTTTCGAGTGTTGTCTTGTTGGCTAAAAGCGCGCCCTTCAATTGTTTCTTCTTCTCCTCCACGTCCGCCGAGGTGCTCTTTAGTTTCTCCTGCAGACTCACCATCTGCTTTCGCACTGCCTCCTACAAATGCAGATTACACTTTACGTAAAGCGCATCAAATTTGCATGTTTATTCTTCAACAAACAGTAAACAAAGTGAGTTAAATCGATCGCCTGGAAAGGATGCTAAACATGCTCGTCGCCATGCAACGCGCATGTTTGTCATCTAAACAAGCGGTTTTACGGAAATAGTGGATTTAATTGACAACTAGTAAATGTGTCTTTACGTGGGATGATAATTGTTTTAGATTTAACAACGGCGCCAGAAATAACTTGCCGAACTAAAGCACGCCAATTGGTCAATGCACACCAGTCTGGCGGGTTCTCATGCTCACTGCAACCTCTCGCCTTCCTCAGGCTACGCCTGCGGGTCAACCCTGATCCCCACTACGGCCATCCTCGCCCTCTTTCCACACTAACCCTCTCCCCACACTCTATCTTTTTTTATACGGTAGTCTGAAATACACAAGTTTCTTTCTGCTGTTAGCCTTCTGTCACATTCTTGGTATTAAGCCTCGATAATGTGGCTATCTCTTAAACACAGACAGATAGCAACCTACCCTTTGAGAGCACGTTCCAGCACGTACATTCGATATGTGGCAATGCATATTTACCCGTAATCACACTGTTCCAAGCTCCTTAGTGCTATTTCGCCGTAATGCCTACGGCCAATCTTCTCATGACGTTATTGTGCGTTTGCAAGAGACCTACTGGGATGTTCCTTCCGCTTTCTAATCATCATCAAAACCTCAAAAAAGACTGATCCCAGAATGCGAGCATGAATAAATCAAAACGGCGCATTCAGAAAAGGACTATCGCAAAGACTTCCGATGTTTCTTGGATTATGTGGAAGGCTAAATAATGTGAATTTTCAGTCTGTAGACGGCACTAGGTATTGCATCTCTTGTTGCGCTAATTTTCGCACAAATTAATGTAATCTCTCATTGGGTCAAGAAATTCCTATAGCCAATAAAATTAATCGGCATTCCCTATTATCAATAATAAAAGCAGCCTAAATTTAATGCACAGCAGTGATTTTCAACACCCATTTTATGGAATTCGTCAGAACTTTATCAGATAAATATGCAAGTAGTGGCGATAAGTGTAATTTTTCACAGTGTTTAAAATCATGTTCTGGTGAGAAAGAATCGGATCTCACCACCTGTTTGAAGGACGCAATAAAATTTGTCCGCGCGATCCCCAGATGGTTATATCTATTTTGGGAATAGACGCTCCGCACATCACTTCTTTGCCCTGTTTACTATTACTGCGAACCGGCGACATGTAGCGTTTACTCGGAATCGCGATCGTCGGCTTCCTATGACCTCAGTAATCCAAAGTCGGAATGGGGCGTGAAAAGGATTCTGAGGTAAATTAACACAAAATGTGGCAGATGATGTGGAATAACGGCACGGCGTAGGTGTTAGTAACTATCTCCATCCATCGCATTCATGGCAGCAATTGAAAATTCAAACGCATCACAGTGTGTCAAAACTTGGAGCATTTAATTCGTGACTGTGAGATGAAATTGCGGCAACCGATATTACCCGAGTGCGTGAATGGGAAAGATAACAGAAGCCCTGGAGCAAGTAATGTTGCGTGATTGGGGCAATTAAACTAAACCGAGGCCTAACGCAGATTTAATTTATTTATACACCAGGTATGCCAAAAACTCCAAGTGCTTGGTCCACTTCGGCGTTTTGTATTTCGTTGCCGGCATTAGTCAGCCAATCACTCCAGATACTAGACTGACCAGGTGTTGCGCCAAAGGTGAGTTGTGGTGGGTAGGTGTGACTGGGTGTGCTTGTGCGTTCAAATGATTGCTTCCCACGCATTCGCTGCCTGGGAAAATAACTAGGCACTTGATGCTTAATTTAAACCAAGCTACTACAAGCCCTCAACTGACCAAACGCGAAATACGAAGCAGCAGAGGCGTGATATGAACGAGAGGAACGTGACAGTTGCCTATTACAGTGTCTTTCAGTTGTTCACTGTCCGGTTTAGGTGGCCCGGTTTCGCGCAAACCTATAAACATTTCAGGGGTCAGGTTTGCATGGATTCTGTCACGCACACACACAGTAAAACATCATAGGGCCTCGAATCAACGTGTGGTAGATTCACTACTCATTGGGGTCCACACGTCAGTCGGTTATGTAAGCGTCCTTACGAAGCTAATGGAAGAATTTTAGGCGAGTGAACACACGAAAACAATTGGCCTATGAGCGAAGCGAGTGTGCAAGGTACACAGTTTACCAACAAGCTACTGCGGTAGGAATCAGTACACACTACACACGCCAACACAGTGCACGGTTTTGGCTAACGGTGAAATTTAACAGTCAACTTTAATTGAATAATACATGTACTTGCAAAATTTGCGCCGCAGACGGTCCAACTAGTGATTGAAAATAGCAAATGGTTTGATTTTCACTTGCTCATGGTGAGCTTCGCCTATTTTCCCGAAGTCACCAGAACAGGTTGGTGTTAAGCGCACTTGCGTTAATAATTTAAAACTCCAAAAAAATGTTCTTTCGGCAAACAAAAACACGAACTAGCGCTAGCTTCCATAGCCTCTGGATGGAATACTCATTTGCCTGCGAATGCGTACAAACGGTGGTACGTTGGAAATGGGCACACATACATATCTACATTACTGATTTCGGAGGGAATCAGTTGGACAGGAATAGGCTAAACGCATTCGGTGAACTTCATGCGCACACACGCACGCGAAGTCGAGGGACACGTTCGATGGCCCCACGAAATAGGACAAAAATAAGCAAGGTGACACCTATTTTCATCGTGTTAATATAAACTGGGCACACGAGGTGCCAAATTGACCGGACGAATGTTTAGCAGTTTAATGGTGCCAAGTAAAGGCCACACGGAGCCGCATGGGCGTCATGTGAACCATTTACGCCCAACCACACTAATTTCAATCACGAGATTATGGCCATTTAGTAAACATTCATGGGTTAAATAGCGGTGATTCGAGTCATAAATAGGTACTCATCGTGCCCTCAATCTTAAAGTACATCAACTGCCACGTGAAGTACTTGCTTATACAGACTGGTATACAATCGCAGCTGGTTTAGCTTGGTCAATGTTATGATGGTGATGGAATGTCATGATAAAATTAAGGCAGTTATCGCCGACTTTATCAGCTCTACACAGCTCGTCTCCCGCGCAGCATGAAACAAGCCGAGTGCATCGTCTGCGTAGCAACTGAAATCCAGAAAATGTGTTACACGACCAACGTGGTGACCTTGACTTTCTAGTCAGCGCATGGATTGACACGTTCCACTTTGATTTAACGCAAAGTTTGGAGGGGAGGTGGCTTGTAGAGGTTTCGCTAACAACATTATGCCATAAATGCAAGACTTCAGCGCAGAAACGTCTGTTTACGGGTTTCGAGCAGAACGTGAACGAAGTGTGTGAATGATGATTACATTTAAGTTAAGTCATACATCATTATATTGGAATAATTCACGGGCATTAGCCACCTCAAAAAGTCACGTGACTAGATTGAGGGCTTTGATGCATCCACACAAATGCCATAGACACCTACATATTTTGGCTTTTGCTGGAATAGGAACATGCGAAGAGGCAGAATGACAGATGCGATTGGACCGGTGTCTTTGAAGTTCCCCTTGTGATGGGATTGGGTGTCGTGAGGAGTGTAGGCAGTGTCTCTTACAGTCATAGTGTTACCTGCATTGAATTACTTGGTCCAGTGGACGCCCCACGTACTGCAATAGGATTTTACGTTATACAAGCAAGTAACTTCCTTTTTTTTTAAATTTTTGGTCAAATCGGGACAAAAGTTTCCCCTCAAGAAGTTGTTCCCCCTGCAAAACCTGATGCCAACTCCAGGAAAAAACCGGAGTGAAACCCTTGGGAAATCTCTCAACTGACAAGGTTTTTATCAGTTGCATAAACAAGACTGAGTTGTTAGCGAAATTCCTAATATAGCAATATACAGTGAACTATTTCTACCCCTTTTTTCTCTCTCTCTTGCAAAAGGAAATGGACAAACAGTGTGCTCAGGAAAGTCGCCAACAAAATGACTCAACTTCCTGGCTGGTGTTTACACGCCAACATCAAGTACTTCCTGACAGGTTTCCCGTCTTGTTTAGATTCAAATTGGAGTGAAAACTGTGGAGATAATACTGCCTAACCAGACGCGAATTCGCCAAGACCAGCTGCTAACTCAAACGCTTTGATGAAATAAATGGCAAATCAGACCTGTTATGTCTGCGGAACAGATTGGGGCGGCTAAATTACCTTAACCTAGCTCCGTTGAAATGAACTCTATAAATGAAAACGAATGTTTCAGCTACTGATGGTAAGCCATTATTCAAAATTCCAACCAGGAGAAATGACTCATCCTTTTTTTGAACTAGCCTTCTCAGCCTTAAACTTCTGTGACACATAGGACTGTTTGTTTTGCTACGAATCTCCAGAACCGTAATAGATCCTTGTTACTTGCGGCTTCCAGCTCGCCTGGGATAATCACCAGGCATTTATACTCCTTGCAAAACACACCTGATCGTTGTAAAAAGATATGTCCTGTAGAAAGGAATCTCTATGGTTCCTCGATCGGTCCTCAAGCTATGACCCCTTTGCCGCCAAAGCCTTCCTGTTATTAGACAGTGGGACCTCCATAAATGGCCCCTCATTCATGTTACCGCTCTCCAGACGTTGATTTACTTACGACCTCCACCTATACAATCGTCACACGTCTAGATAACAATCATAGGAGATAATAAACAGAACTATAGGGATGCACGGCCACTTGAAAATACCAGGAACTGGCCTATTTTGCGCGTCTGAATGAACGTCACGAGTGACGTCATTTTGGTGATAGGCATAAAAAATTTCCTGTATGAATGGTGCGGCAATTCAGGAAGAATTAATGAAACGGCGCATACAGTCAAGATAAACAAGATACAGATGAGAAACGGATAGGAACAACACATAACTAAGCTTTATCTTCGTAGATTACATAACAGTGATAGTGGGTGTGCTCCATAATTGCAGTTAACCAGTAATTTCTGCATTTCACGTCGAAATAACCCAAAACACAGTTCAGAACGTCCAAAACAGTCCTCCTGAAATCGAGGACTTTGTAGGAGAAAGTCGACATACTCTGCCTCGCCAAAATCGTTGTTATAAACCTATTGCATATCTTTTTTTTACATTTCACAGGACCAAAGTCCTAGAAAAACCTCCTAGAAATGAAAAATTCGCCCTTCCAGTAGCAGCGACAAAATCTCATGTGAGACAGAGCCACAGCCAAATAATTACCAATTATTGAAAGTTGCCAACAGGCATGCACGACAGTCGATGAACGCCATAAATAGTACAGCAGAAGCTCATCTAAGCACTGCTGCCGCCTCCTCTTCAATACTACTGCTGTTTGGCAGCCTTCAACTAATAAGCACCATCGCGGAATCCCTTGTCGTGAGGACCCTACCTACCACGGTAGACCAGATAACGGAGACTCATGTTTACTACGTCAAACCGAATCTACAGGGCCAAGCACCGACTATTCAGAAATCCTAGGACCCCCATAGGGTGAAATTTTGCTTTGATTTCATACTGTTGACTAACACCTTTAACAGCGAATGGCATGCATTGTTGGAAAACTCGACGTCTCGTAGCCAAGTAATTGCGTATGAGTACTTTTGTATTTTTAGATGCTGTGCGCGGAAAATTCATAGCCAAAAATAATCACCGGATTTAATCACATAGTGCCGAGAGGCCAGGTTTCATCGTTTTTTTCAAACTTGGGTCTTGATATGGCATTAAGAAATTGCTCCAAAATCGGGCAACGACCCCGCGCAATGTAAGAAAAGGCTTTTAGCCCAGTAAACCACGAGTGCCTTGTTTTTGCTGATAGGAATGACACCGTACCAAATGAAAGCCAACGCAGATTCACAATTAGATGATTACAGAACCGACTTATTGTTCACGATCTTCAACCAGAAGAGTATGGCAATTGTATGTAGGTATGTCTTTTACGAATGACCAATTTCCTGACATTGTCAAAGTCAGTGCATCATTATTATCTTAGCGGAACTTCGTGCTGCACGAATCAAATTTCGACTGTCGAAGGACACGATGAGGATACGCAGTAAACAGACGCCATGACTAAGTGCCTTTGAGAAATGGAAATTCGATCTTCCCCGAGAGCAAAATGAAAGGTGTACAGTTGGAAAAAAAACATACGGGCGGGAGACGGTGTGCCCATCATCGGCCGTTTTTTAACGGACAGCGGGGTAAAATGCTTTGTTTTGCATTTTAAACATATGCACGATATGCACGCACTACCAGGGCAACGGTGGGAAACGGAAGCCAACTCCACCAATGCTAAACATCAAAACGCCAAGTGGAGTGTTTAATAAACACCGTAGAGTTGGATCGCAACTGCTAGTAGAAATTTTCTAAAGTAAATTTAGCAGACGCCAGACGCGTAGCATGACATGTGACACTGTTTACGTACGACTCAATCACATAAAACAGGTCTCAGGTGGAGATCACAAATAGTGTGGTATTTTTGGCCTCATTTGGGTAACTGTACATCAACCCACGCAGATGAATGCACAAGATTATAATTTACTGGCTAATTTTAGAACATTCATTGATGCCACCACGCAGTCGGGAAATTTACTTTCGCCTACTTTTTGATATAAAAATTTTGGATGAGTTTCGATGCGTGAATGTTTGAGCGGCATTCCTGCGTACACCAATGTCCGTCCAAGTGGGTAGTTTCACGGTTCAATAGTAATAGTACTTGCGTAAATTTGTCGACTATAATGTTAACTTTTTTTGACTTGGGACTTGCAATAAAAACGCCAAAGCTACTAAACGAAGAAGCGTACGCGAGATTATGTTTCATTCACAGTTCATGGGGCCTTGAGATTCGTTCGAAAACGCATTGACTAAATGAGAATATTGTGGGGTTGCACAGACACATTAAAAGGTGCTAATCATCAACTCTTTGCAATCTGAGACCTCAATTTAACGTACAATCTTTTGAACTAAATTCATAGTGTCTTGAGTGATCAGTAAGTCAAGAAGGTGGTGCCATGACACACGAACTTTACAACGCACCTACCACAAAAACACAAGTATTTAGCCCATTTAAACCTACGTACGAACTATTCTGCAGTTGAAGTAATTCGACAAGAATGCAAGTAAAATTAAGCTACTTGCACACCCAAGGACAATCGCCCACATAACTATGATTCACGGCTATAGGTGTTCTGCTAGAGCAAACAGTCATAGCACTACTTTAGCATTTCACTTAACTACACGATAATGCATGAGACGGTTAGCTGGAGATAAGACGTCGAACTTAAGTAATGACGAGATAACTAGCATTCCATGCTACCGTACCTCGTTTGTTTGAGATTTCACCTTTGTTTACACGGCTCCTCTAGTTTGGTAACCTCATTTCTAAGGCTACCACCTGTGTTAATACACCTTGATCCATTAAATCAAGATCACCCACGACAAAGGTTCACTGTTCGTTCTAACATATCACTTAACCTTTGCCTGAGACAATGAAAGTCCCCTTCACGAAGGCTTGGGTTTTTCGTAGTCTAGGGTCACTGGAAAGATACTTAGGGGGTGATAAATTGCATGTTACATTGCATAGTGCCCTTGTCAGTCAGTAACAATAGCATTTACCAACAACACGTGACACGGCCTTCTTAGACATCTGAGACATTGGACCAATTTGCTCCGGCGTCAGCTTAGTACACATAGTTTCACATTTCTTTGACAAATTACTACCATCTGTCGCTAGTAAAATCACAGCATGACATGTTAAGTCTCTATTCGATGACACAGTTCTGAAATTCCAAACAAAAGGCCAAATTTTACATTTCAACAAATACCTTCAGTCAAACAAGAATGCGATGACATGTAAATGGACATTTATGTCTACTTGCGTAAGTGGTGCTGACAGCTACTACGAAGTCCAGATATATGCGCAAATCTAATTTGTTTACCAGTCCGGTAGTTCTTGTCGTGATAGGAACACTTGCAAGCAAGGTGACAAGTCAAAAACTGGGCGTTTTTTTGTTTGAGTTCGTGCATGAATGACTCATGTTGCTAGAGCAATGCGAAAGCACGGTGGTTTTTTTTCATATTGGGTGTGTGCTGCGACGAGAGCAAATAAGAGGTGAAAGAGGGTTTTTTGATCAAAAGTAACGCCAAAAAAAAGCAGCAAGACTGGCTTCTCCTGTAATGACTCATTTGCCGGCAACTTGGGGATAGAGGATAAGGCACTCGGGCAGCTCTGAAGTGCGCTGCAGAACGAGCCGCTCAATGATTCAGGCACACTTTAGTGTGAACAGGTGCCATGTCTCAGCAGAATCGCTCGCTACCTATTCTAAAGTTTCCGACGAAGGGTACCAGGGTTGATAGTTTTATCCGCACTTGCATGGAGTTTATTTCTTTGATGGTCTAATACGCATGGTCAGTGCCGCACAGTGCAGGCAAGCTAAATTTATTCAAATTTAGTGAGCTTCCAGTGAATTCGTCGAGGAATTAGCATGCGATTTTCTAAAACGGCAAAAATTTATTGCGCTCTGGATTTCAGAACTTGTCAGTACCTTGTTGAGAATTTAGAAATGTTAGTTTTGATTAATAAGACAGATCAAAATCTGGAAGGCTCAACCAATAAGAATTTTAAGAAGTAACGAAAATTGCTAGTGATGTTAGAGGTTAGAATGCATTGCATAGGGGGGGTGTGATTACTCCATAAGTTTTCAATTAACAACGAATTTCTGCAGGTTTGAAAGAGGTGAATTTCCTGAACGATTGCTTCCAGGGGGTGACAAGCAACGGTCAACACCAAGGCAATTCCCACAATTCACACCAAATTTGATCCCTACCCTAGACACGTGTTTTTACTTTAGGTAGACGCTCATCCACTGTGAGATGTTCATCCCAATGTAATCAAGATGCCGGAAAATCGTTTTGTACACATTAATAAACTGGACATCGTTTTGCTTCCCGACCGATCATGAATGATTAATGTCAATGATGCCATATAGCACCAGATCCATTCAAGAGAAAGTCAAGGAGTCAGGTCGTGTAGTTCTGCCTCATCCAAAATATTCCCAAGATGCCACCTCGTAGGACTCCTTATGTTTCGGATCAGTGAAGTAGTTCCTTTGCGAGGAAACCTCCTCCCAATGTTTAAACCATCAAAATTAGAACTCGGCAAACATTGTACTCTGGGGTTGTCAGACTCCTTGGTGGATAAAAGAGGGGTTAACAGGTAAACACGTTTGTATAAATACCACCAGTGGAAGTGATTAAAAAAAGGTGCTTAAACTGGGTGAAATTCCTTGTTTACTCGCTTGCCAATGTGTGGTTTCATGGCGTTCTCATCCACTAGTGACACTACACAAGGTGGACCAAGGAAAGGAAATTAGAAAAACCCGGAGGATTATTGCCGCGTATTCGACATTATTTGAGACAATTAATTGCGCCAGAAGTAAGCGTCTTGAAGGGGACGGAGAAGAGATTAGCGGGGAAGGAAAGGAGGGGGAAGGACTAACCAGAAACCGTCAAACACACGCGGAATTTGACATGAGGGGACTCCAAAATCATGACAGATGTTGGTGTATCGCAGGGTTCAACATATGTCGGTCTAATTGAGCCTCCAACCCGGCCAGACACCTGAATAGTAACTGTACGAAGTTTTTAATAAATCATGATTGAGGATAAACGTAGATGAAGAGATTCGATGAAGAACAAAAGTGGCCAGTTAAGAAACTAATAGATAGCGTTTTATGGGAAACAAAAACTATGATTTCTAATAACCCGGGGAAGTAATACGGATTGTTAAGCATGATTTTACACAAGTTTTGCTGAAAAGTTATTCAGCACCCTCATCTCGTCCTCCAAAGTTTGCATGTCCATAATTTACTAAAATAAACTTGCAAATGAATCAGAAGTAGACCTTTGAAATGGCACGCAGGAGGCTTTTTGTAATGAGACTGTCTTGTTGACACCAGATAGCAGTGATTAATTAGACTGGCAACTGATAGTGCTCAAAAAAACAAAACAAAGAGGATAGCTGCTGCTCCCGGCTATGTGGTGTTCCACTTAGTTTTACCATGTAATTAAAGCTATCATGATGGACGCTTCCTATCCGTGTGGGGAATAGCATTCTTTGACTTAAAACCAGTACAAGTCAAATAAGTACAGCTACACACAACCACTCCCAAACCCCCCAGCCCCGATTTTTCTCCCTTTTTTGCAGAAACTGCAGCAGGCTGCTTTACTGGGTGACATTTACGAATTTTCGTTACCAGCATATGCAAGTTGTAAGTGCCACGTAAAAGCAGCCGATTTGTGTGTAAAGTAACTTGGTGTGTTTGTCACAGTTAGCAGATAGACACGCACTCACGCACGCGCGCACACACCATTTATTTAGCAGCAAGAGGTTAAGTGCAATTTCTTGGGATCTGTAAACTTATCTACGGTACTTACAAAAGAATTCTTCAATAATCTAATCCTGACCTCCGCCACAGCGTCTAAGCCAATAAAATTGCGCGTTGGAGTGCGGTAAAAGGCGAGGGCTGTCAGAACAAGGACTGTTGAGGTCATATGTGACAAAAGAAGGAGTTTTGATTTGCAGATCCACCCATTCCTTAATAGCAAGCACACCAGCCCTCACACTCTTATCCGATTCCGACAAACACCAAATGAAGCATTTGTTACCTTTCATTTATACTGAGAATTTCACGCATTTCTATTTAATAAATAAAGGCTTAGCATAGGGATGAGGAATTGAGTTGGTGGCGAGTAATTTACTAATTAGTTTACCACGCTTAATTTGTAATCATGCTCAAGCTTTGGCTCACGTGGTAGGTCCCCAGTGCCTTTTGCCTTGGTTCTAGTTGTTGATTTGCTATGTAAACTGGTATCTAACGCCGGTCAGATATACTAGCTGCTATGCTATGCGGAATTTTATGTCAATAGCGTCATGAAAGTAAAGTGAAAATCCAGAAAACATGTGTCGGATAGAGATTAATTAATTTAAGCCAATTCCAAGGAAGATTTTGTTCGCAAGAAAGCATTTCCTGAATAATGGCTTTGTTCACTTTGGGTAAAATTCTTGCAAGCGGAAAACACTTAAGCGCCAATCTGATAGCTAGGGTTGTTATTGACTATGGTGGTAGGATTAATGCCTTAAATTAAACGTATGTTTTGAACCACTTGAGATTACGGGCAGAGTTCACATTGCCTCAGTTTCAAGAAGCAGGTCTACGAGTGATTAATCATGCGGATTAGTGATGTTGATATTGATATTGATGGTCCAATATCAATTGGCCAACGAAATTCAGCTACACTCTTAGAAAGGTCTATAGGAAGGGATGAGATTCTACTGGGTTATTGACACGATCTCGTTTCGCGGCAGGGATTGTGGCTGAGTGTTTTGACACCCTAATACTTCGCTAGAAAGTTACCTCGAATTTGACGATCAGCTATTGTCTTGCTCAAATGGTGTCATGCGGCAATATTCACAGAAAGTAACCAGAAAAGTGAAAATATAGCGTCCCTTTTAGTGAATTATTAATGGTTTTACCCTACTTGGAATCGCGTAGCAATCGACCAGAAAACTTGAGGTGTCAAAATGCACCCAAAAATTCAGATTCAAAGCTTGTGCCTTTCCTAGCGCTTGGGTAAGCGTGATTTCCGACACAGACGTAGTTCGTGTCGTGTTCGAGATTAATAGAACCTCGGAAAGACGATTTACACGGCCAGACTTTGGAATGGTTTGGTTCAAACAAAATCTGACAGGGAAAAGAATATAGACTGGCAGGTGGCAGGGTGGTTGACAGTTAAGACGAACTGCGTGAGGGCAAACATCATCTTCTTTCCAAGTCAAAATCCACCCCTTGCACGCACACATTGTCTTGATAACCATTTCGCCAACAACAAACAACTCGCAAGTGGAAAAATGAGCTTTTGTTGCCCCTCCCTTACCTGCAATTCGGCGAGTTCAGCTGCTCTGGTCTCCACAAATGCTGTGCGCTCCTGAACGAGAGCCTCTAGCCGCTCTACTTCGGAGTCGCGTTCAGCGAGTTCGGCTTTCAGGTGGGTAATTTGCTGCTTGGCCTCCTGGAGCGGGTCCAGATGAAACGCTCGTCGTCGCTTCAAATCGTTCAAACCAAACCTGTCAAAAGGCGGAACCCCCCCTTTCTTTCCGGCATCCATCATCCTCTGGTTTTCCCTGATTCTTCTGGCCGCCGCTGTCTCCATGGCGGGAACATGCCTTTGAGCACTATCTTTGGTCTGTAAGAGAATTAAAACGCACAATTATTTTGTTATGACAGTTTTCAATTTCGATGTAAATTTTAGGCTCCAGGTTATTAGTGCTTTTGAGCCATAATCAAAAAGCAAAACTAGGAAAAACATGGTTTGAACCTCAGACGTGCTGGTAATAGGGCCCCATGCGCTATCGGTGATCGATAACTTACAATAATTATCCTTATTGATATTTATCAAACAGCTACCATACACCTACTGTCCAGAGAAAAAAAGTGTAAAAGAAGACAAGAAGTCAGAGACTACTATGTAACTGTCTTTTGATATTGTCGTAACACCCGTCTACAATCCTAGACGAATCTGATTTTGACGCTTTGGAAGCAGAGACAGCTTGAAGTATTCTTTAAGGAATGTCCTTTGCGGAAATGCTTGATCTATTTGCAGCATTTTGCATGAATCTCTAGAAGTGGAAGTTCTTGACGCCTTCAGATGGTTTTGAGAGAAAATCCAAATGTCGAATTGTGCCACTTAGGTAAGGCGCGAAGGACCTCATGCATCAGCCAGGTACAAATCCTTCCACTAAGTTGACATGTGTACAGTTCCGTCAATGAGTAACTCGCTGTAAGAGCAGAGATTCATTTGACGGTGACTTTTTTCTTAGGTAAATTTACATGGGCATTGAGGTACAGAGGAGAAGATTACCGAAGAATGCGTTTCAGGGTTAAAAATGAGGCAAAATGCACGCTTAACATTCGTCATAATAGCAAATCCGTAGATCGTCGAAGGAATTCAAAACATAATGAATTAGAACTAAATCTGTGGACTTTCACAGTACGGCAGCAATGATAGTGTGGGTCAACACCATACCGTTGGGTATTAAGACATGATTTTCTTCCAACTTTTCGCCAAGGATGACAGTTCCAAGTTAAACTAAATGTAGAAGAAGCCAGCATTCGCCTATACGGACTACCGTTAATTAAGAGTCGTCATTGTTTACACAACTCTCTCTTAATCTGGCCACTTCAGTTGGTCACCCAAGCTGTGACACGCACTGACAACTTCACCACTCCTGACCCCTCAGATCAAGGCCACACACACCTTGGTAGCCATGTAATTTGAAAGGTCAATCATCCATTGGCGGAATCAGCCAACGCTCTCTGCACGTGGTCCTGTCTTTGTCCTGTTTGTGGGAAGGCTTAAGCCTGCGTTAGATAATTAATTTGAGTAATTGTTCCCTGAGCATCAGTATTTCGTTTCGGATAAGAACAAACTATCCCTAAAATGAACGCTCACAGTGCATCGATTATCCCGATAAGTGACAAACATATTAGAACAGTGAAAGTGGCAATAGCAAACTTGGATTAATGCAAATAAGAAGCCAGATGGTTGTGAGTAGGCTGTTATTCGCAAAAAGCGCCGTTATATTTACACCAATCATTATGAAATACTTGGTAGCAACTATACCTCGAATTCCCGCTGGTTCAGTTTCTTCTCGATCTCTTTGATGTGTAAGTAAAATGTCTCCTGTTGCTCACTCATGTTCTTCTCAGCTTGATGGAGAGACGCAAGGGCCAGGTCGCGTTCCTCCGTGACCTTCGATAGGGCCGAGCGAATCTTGGTGAGTTCCGCCTGGAGGTTGCTGATCTCGTTGTTCGAACGCTCCAGGCCAGTGGTTTGTTCGTTGAGCGAGTTACGCAAAGTCTCGTTGTCCGCCATCAGATTCTCGATAAACACTTTATCGTCATTTATCTGAACGGGCAAGTGACTCTAATTTAAAATTTGCAAGAAGTTAAAATGCTGTATCCGCAACAGCCTAACTCAATTATATCAGATTAATATGCAGCGGTTCGCTTCTTCCTATAGGCAGTTTTATCTTTATGTGAAACATAAAAGCAACCGCCATTTTTATACAAGGGGAAGAAGATACCTTGCTTCCTCATTAACCACAACAAAATGCAGGCCGCAACGCAAAAGCGCGTCGTCTTAAATACTTGGAGAAACATCCCATCGGACAGTACTGGTTTTGTTTAAATTGAACCTAAACAACCAGACTCTTTCGGCGTGTTTCAAATTGAACGCTGCCATCGAAGACGCTCAGAGATCTGGGGTGTTTCATTCGTGCCAATTATTCGAATCACGTGTCTGAGATATAGTCACCTTTGTTGATAAACTGTGGTTGAGGAGACATTACTGTCTCGGTAGCTCCGACGCAGATTGGAGGTACGTTGATTTTAAGTCTCGTGGACGAGAAACAGGTCCACCTAAATGGAATCTACTGGACGCTGCTAGAAAATCATAGACCACTCTGAACCTTGCCGTCATCCGCGTAGCCAGCCACGACCTTTGTACAGACGTGATACAAACGGGTTTCCATTCATTTAAACTCCACATCCGCACCCTATTTCTCAAGAGATAAATGTAGAGCAAAAGTCATTTCCCAGGTTTAAATGGTACTAAAAGTAGTTGTAGGACTCAAAGACGGACACGAGAAAGTTTGCTTGCCCGTTAAGAGCACGAAGCACTGGCAGGTAAGGCCGCTGTTTGCAGCATAACTCAAGCGCGCCAAAACCCTTCAACCGCTCCCCCCTCTTCCGGTCGTGGGGAAAACCATAGGGAATCTACTCGATGATCGTTTCCTCACTAAGTTTATGTCTCTCACATGATTTGTAAATCCCCACTCTCACACCATTGTTCGACCTGAGTTTACTATGCGCTCACCGTAATTTCGGGCTGGCGCAAGAAACTGTCTAGTCTAACCAATCTAAAGCAATGCCACAACACGTTTTTCTCAACTTTGAAGAAGGGAAAATGTTTTTTTTGTCTCAACCTCCATTACTGGCCTAAAAGCCTTATTGGGGAACCGGTATATGCGTGTTAGCAGGAAATTCGAACTTGCGTAGCTGTCTCCTACGAATAATTGTTACCAGACAACCAAGAAATATGAATAATGGTTCTTGAAAGAGGGACACATTGCCGATGACACCACTCAAACACCAAATCACACAATCACCCACCCCTCCGCTAATTTATTCCTGATTCCCGACCCAAATGTGGTCCGCATCCATTGCACTAAAGTCATCATTTGACTGACTGATGTTGCTTAGATTGCAGGCCAAATTTAATAGATTCACGTTGGTTTGACACACAATACGTGGGCTTGAGATACGTGAAAACGAAAGATTGGACAAGGTGAACCCGAGAGTCATGGCATTTTAAAATCCGTATGCTTTAAGAAAAGAGTTTTTTTGTATTACCTCGTGGGCAATTGAGTGTAAACGACAAAATAGCAAATATTCGGTTCCACAGAACCTCGCAAAGCTCTACCTTCGTTTGCAGCCTTCCGTTTGCCGACTGGAGAAGGGACATTTCATGCTTCACCACGTCCTCTTCACGGCGAAAGCTTTTTTTCAAATTGTCGAGGAGGCCGCCAATATCTGCCAGAAAAGTTTCCCAGGCGTTCTGCATAGAGTGGTGCTCAGTCAGACGAAGAAGAAGCACATCCCGTTCTTGAGAGAGTGTCTTAAAGCATTAAACGACAAACCGGAAATAAACATTAACGCGACAGTGTTGGCGAATTAACGAGGAATCTGGGAACTGGGACAGGGAAACAGGAGTAAGTCAATGGAGGGTCCCTTTGAGGCTCAACAAGTAATCAATGAAGATAGTTACAAAGTCACGGGCTATGAATTTGTACTACAATGCGGACTGAGGCTGCTTTTCCACCATGAATTCTTCCATTTTTTGCCACCAAACTTCACGCGCCAGTGGCTTGGGGTGAATCTACGTCCAGATCCTGGAAAAGGTAGAATTTTGTCTAACAGTCCTCGGACATTAAGTTGCATATTAACGAATAACTTGTTCTATGAGCGATTTATAGATCTCTAAACAATGCTGACTTTTTGCTTTATGGTTTCTCGTAGTGATTTATTAGCGATTTTTTTAAATTTTGCCGTTTTCACTTAAACTTTCCAACGTCTGCACCTTTTTTCGTCTTGCAAATGATTGTTTGGTAGTTTGCAAGTTAGGACTGACGAAATCGGCATTTCGCACAAAATTATCAAAAAAAGTTGAACTATCCTTTCTGTAAACTGATTGCTGCAGCATTCCCGATTTCTATGTCCTTACCCTCTAAAAGTAACATGTACCTTTAGAGCAATTAACCTTTGTCAAGACTAAAAGTAGATATTCACAAATCGAAAGTGAGGTCATGAAGAATAATTTCAAACTATGCTCGGGTCATAACCTCGCATTTTATTGACGAGGGGCCTTGCCAGTTAGGGAGATACCATCATGTTTCGGTCACGTTTTAATTTGACGATTAGATTACAGGGTTTGCGTTTGTGACCAAATTCAGTCCGTGAATCATAGTGGTGTCCACCCAGACAAACTGTTCGAGAAAATTTTAAAATGTAGTGTTGTGAATCGTGTTTATTCAACATCTTAATCCGATCGATTCGCCTCCGATACAAGGCCCCCCTTCTCGCAGCATGGCGACAGCCGCGCAAATCCTCAACCCCCATCATTCACACGTATATGTATCTTGGATTAACCTCACACCTAGATCTCGATGTTAACGCATGTATGACTCACGCATCCGAGGTATAAATACACACGCGCAAACCCGACACAACGACACCAGTCTGGTTGATCTCTGAAGTAAACGGTTGTGTCTCGT